CCCCAAAACCCCAAAACCCCAAAACCCCTTAACAATTATAGAAATTGCAATTTAGGTTCTTTTATTTAAAAATAAATTCTATAATCATAAAGTTCATTATCTACTGAAATATTTCAATCATAATATTCTATAAAATCTTCCTCATCATCATTATCATCTTATCTTTGTGACAAATGATTAACATATCCTTTAGACTTATCACCAATTATAATCTTTTAATTGTCTAAATCAATCACATGAAATGCAAATCTTCCCATAGCTCCTATTAGCTAATGCCCTATATCTTATGTTTTAATATCATTTTTTTTGAGTTCATTCTCATACTCTTCTAAAACAACATTTCGATCGAGAGAAATTGCTTAGTTATAATAAAATCGATCAATAATCTTAAGTTTTTCCGAAGATGAGCTAAATTTACTATCTTAAATAACTTTTAAGTTTTCGGAAAATATAGAGACTCTATTAAGAACATTATTTTATAAACCAACTCCTCCAAAAATAATGTACTCTTAGATCTATCCATTTTAGCTTAACTAAGGCATTTAATAGACTTGGTATTAACAACCTTATTAGAATTCTGAAGGAAATGCGAAGTATTCCCAATTGCATTCAACTCGACCTATTTTATGAGTATCCAATCTCATTAATCTCTCTTAATATTTATAAGCTTCTGGCTTTTCATACATTCCTCCAAAAGAATATAAATATCTTTTCCTCACAGAAATCAATGAATGAGAAAAAATGGGACAATCAAATTTTGGAATGTCTTCCCAAGTGTTATTAAGCAGATCATACCTTTCGCAATGATCAAGATAAATACTATAGTTATCGACACCTCCAGTTGCATAAATATACTAGCCAAGATGACACAAACCATGTCCATATCTTTGCTTTGACAGTGATGTTATCTCATGCATCATTTGGTTTTTCAAATTCAATCTGTAGCATTATTTAGAAGAATAGTGAAAATATAAATTGCCTCCTATAAAATAGATTTCATCTTAGATTTGCAATACTTTAGCCCACATCTCATCGAATCTAAAACTGGTCTCTATAAATATAGTTGATAAAAAGATAAAATTATGCAATAGTATTATTAAAGTTAATCTTACAAATTTTCCCTTTTTTAGTCACCAAATTAACTTTCTTTTAATCCCATTTAAGTGTATTTCTGTCAAGAAAATAAAAGAACTACGATTTTTCAAAAGCGATATAACATGCTTGCTAATTCCATGATTTCATCTCTTTGATACAATTTGGTATCAATTTATCATAGAAATACTTTTCTAAGATTTAAATTCTGTAAAGTTCCTTTTTGTCTAGAAACTACATCACTTCTAAAATGGCATATGAGTATATTAATCTTTGCTAGGTGCTATATGATTCCATTTTTTAGTTTTTAATTAATATTTTTTTTAGTTTGCTATTTATTTATTTTTTACAATAATTTTTAGATTTCAGGAAAGAAGGGGTTTTGGGGTTTTGGGGTTTTGGGG